ATTATCAAGAGAATGGGCAGCAGATGAGCAGAAAGAGAGACTCTTCCTTTCTCCTTCAAAAATGAATCGGCTTAAGTTTTTCAGTATTAACGCAGTCCATAAATCCACATAGCTTTTTCCAGAGCAATAAATCATTTAGGAGGTTTTTAGCAGTTCCTCCAATTTTGACATATTTTGATTTCAGTCATCCATGCACTCCTCTCTTTCCATGCTGAGTGTCACAGTGGAAACCTTCTTATGCAGTCCGGAGGGGGTACAGCAGGACTTTAACATGAGCAGGAAGTGAAACAAAGACGTATATACACACCATGGGAAGAAGTTGTCATTACTATGCTGTCAGTGGCTGGATTAAGAAAAGTCATACGTCTCCAGGGATGCTACCACCAAGAAAAATAGGAACTGTGGCAAGTAAACTGCCAAAGATGGGCAGCTGGACATCACAGCTCATCTTTATACCCTACTGCCTTACAATAAAACTGCTAGTCCTGACACTCAACCTTCAGGATATGGTGATTCTGGAAAGGACCACTTAACATGGTAGATCATTTGGGGGTATTTTCAATTGCCTGCCATTACAGGCCATAACAACCCATTGCTATGGTTAAACATGCAGTAGGCTATGAACACTTACTTCTCTACAGAGTTCAGTACTTAGTACCATGAACAGGCCCAGCTGATATTAACAGAAGACAAAATGACTACTCAAGAAAATAAAATTATTCGTGTGTATAAGTGTTTATCAGCTTGAACCTTGAGATGCATGGAAGAAAGTCACCGGCTTTGTGAAGCTCTGTGGAAATAATTATGGTTTATACTTGTCACTGTGTTAACACTACAGGGTAATTCAGACATAAGAGAGCTAGCTGTAAACTAGCTAGCTAGGGTACCAGTCGCAGTCTGGCTGTGGCAACATTAAACTCAGCAAAATTCCCCTGAGAAGCTGAGTAAGTACTTGGTCAGTTCATCTGCCCATGCTGCTGGGACCTGGCCACTACTAAAACCCAAACTTAAAGCTACATCAAATAGGTCTACACTACACTGCAGCTGCTGTGCAATGTCTACAGTATAGACACACCAACACTTAAGCCGCCTAATAATTCTGCAGTGCCTTCCAGCCATAGATCTCCATGTATCTTAAAAATATAATAATAAAGTGCAGGCACAACCAAAAACTCAGAGAAGCCCAGTATGTGTAAATGTCACCCTTCTGATGGCCACAATCATATTTGGGAGTGTGAACTTGTATTAGCTAGCTTTTACAAAAAGACAGCTTACAAATCTTGTGGTTTGACTGTTAGCCAACGTAGTCTGTTCATCCTGTCTACAATACAGTTCTCACACAGAAGAGTATTTTTAACAACCAGTGAACTCACCCCTTCTGAAAATGAAAGTTCACAGTTAATTCCGCTATAAGTGCGAAAGCAGCGACTTGAAATAGGTTAACTGCTCAAGATTTTTCTTCCTTCAGGTAAGCATTACAAGTGTTAAAGAAGAGTTAGTGTTAATGGTGTTGATCCTTTTGATTGTATAACCTAAGTGTAAAGGTTTAACACGAGAAAACTTCAGACTTATCCTAGTTACTGTATGTAATCCATGATAAGACTCCTCTTTACTGAAGGAGTTAAAGTTTTGTAATAAACTGAGCATGCTGCAAGCTGGATTTCATGACGCCCGATCTGCTATAATGCAACAAATCAGTGTAGCATAACAAACAGCAGACGCATTCTGTGGCACAGCCTCCCCATAAACTTCAATCTTTTGGAAAAAAAATCTTGATTTATTATATAGCTTTTGGACAGTTGTGAAAGAAAATTTGCCAGAGATCGGAATAATCAACTCTTTCACCCAAGCAGTTTTTTATGAAAGAATAAAGCACAGAATGGGTCTGAGCAAAATAAATAAAAATTCCACACTTTTAACCAACAGAATCTTTTGCGTCATTCAAAAATATTTGCAGACATCAACAATCTTTTATCATCTAAAAAGCACTCTAGCTTTCAGAGAGGGGGCTTTTTTCTTAATTTTTCTCTTAATTGTGGCCTTTTCACTATCCCGTCTGTGCCACTAACTGATCTTGTGTTTGTCAAAGCAGTATGTTGCTAATTCCCTATACCCCCCCAAAAACATCTCTGTTTTGCTAATCTGTTATCTGTGAGTTGCAAAAACGGCAGTATATAAGATTCACAAACGGCATCTGTAACAGGATTAATTGTAATAAATGTTTCCATCTATTGAAAGGGATACTTAGTACTCTTGGAAAACTAGCTACTTAAATGCAGAAAAACTAGTTGCTTTTCCCTATTTTGAACCCAGGGAAAAGAGCTGCAAACAGAAACATACATTAGCCATTCATAATAAATATACTAGCCTCATTCAGAGCAAGTAAAGGCATTACTGTTGCATCCTCTCAACAGCCCTGCTGTTCCACTTGCCCATGTAATTAGCACACAATGCAGGCAGACTTTCCTGGCAAAAGGTGTTGTGTACTTTGAACAAAATGAAAGAGGAAAGAATATTTAAAAAAAAGAAAAAAAAAGTGTTGGTGGGTGAACGGCTTCTTAGCTAAGCAGCACTTGCAGAAAGATGTTTCCAACATTTGCTTATTTATCAACAGAGTTACTCCCCAATGTTTTGATTTGTGTATCTGAGCAGAAAAGGGGGGGTGGGAAGAGGGTTTTATTAAGCGAGTCTTTCAGTAAGACACCAGATGATGGATAGTCAAACACAGAGGCTCCTGTAAACAGAGAGAACCGAAAGGTATGAACTGACTCAGAATTGTGTCAACAGAGGTTGCAGACCCTGGGTTTATTTCAGCCTTCCTGTTTTTCGCAGATTTCTTTTCGTGCTGTACTTTAGACACAGCTTCTTTTCAAGGCACTCCGGCGGGGTGCAGAAAGATGCAAGATTTCACATGGCAAACGTGGGCGCTGAGACGCGCGTACACAGAGTAGCCACAATAATAGTGGCAGAAGGTCATTTGCAATCAGTGGCTCCCGTCTGCATAAATTAAGCAGCATGCTTTTGCACGGGAGCCCTTTGCCATCAGAACCTAAGAAGCATGAACACAAATCCCACGCTCACAAATGCTTTATATGGTAGAACAGACTGCAGGCTGTTGAAGAGTATCCAAACCAATAAAGGGAAAACATGCATATACTGTATGTATGTATATGCAAATAAATAAATAAAAAGGATACATCACAGCCTCAGCCCTCCCCACACCCATATGATTTAGGTATTTATTTACCATCTCAAAAGTCTGAACCTGCAACCCTTCACACATTTAGACCTATTAATGTTAATCAGGATTTTCACCTTTGGTAACAGGCTGCCCCAGAGACTGCTACATCTTTTACAAAAATGCATTTGAAAGATGTGATAGCAAATATAAATAACACCCCCTCTTCCCCCAACCCCTACATGGGATCTTCATTCTCAGGAACTTAATCAAAGAAGCAGCTTCACATCCTGCAATGGTCTTACGTACTTGGGTTGAGATGAAACTTTGTGCAGTCTCATTAAAGTTGGGTGATACACGACACAAGATGAATGAGGGCTGTAGACCTTAGACTTCCAGATTTCCATCTGTACCAAAAATGCCTCAATGGCTATAATTTTTAACAAACAAATGATGTTTGCAGTGGAGCTACATCTGCCACCTGCCACCCAAAGGATTTTTTTTTTTCTTTGTGCACATGTTGTTTCTGGCCTATTAATGAAAAGATGCAAAATAAATACCTAGGAAAGAACTGCCACAGATAAATGTCATAAATAACATGCATAAAATATTATTTCAGAAAAAAAAACCCAACTTTGGGGCAGACTGAATTTTTAACCATCTTCCTTCATGGTTTATTGTGCATTTCTACCCAGCAGGAGTCTTATTAGATGCATTTTCCCCTTTAGGAGCCAAGGTTAATGGAACAGCAGAGATAATTTCTTGTGTAAATGATAATACAGTAAGCTGACTTGCTTGCATCAGGTTCAGGATCCTCAGATACGGTTCCAAGGTTTGCGTGAACACAGAGTAGGTAAGTGCCCACGAACTGAAAGGCTCTACTTTCTCTTTTCTTTCTTTCTCCCCCCTCTTCCCTTTTCTTGCACATTTGTACATTTTTAGCTACCATTAGCTATATAACAGAAAGTGAGGGAAAGGAAAATTCACTGGAAGAGACCATGAATGAGAGTTTCAAAACATTTCATGTATTTTCTCTGCATATTTGGAGCATAAATCATGCAATAACACCAGCAGTCAGACTCATGATTACCACCAAAGTCAGACAAATTATGGCACTTGCTATCTCCATCATGACAATTTCTTGCCTTTCATTCATTTTCTGCCACTGTCTGGATTTAAAGTCAGAGGGGAAAAGGAACTTAGCTAAGTTAACCCCTTAGGGCAAGAACAGTAGCCATGGTTTCATGCAGCAATTTAAGAGGATTTATACCTGCTAACTTTGCTCAGTAATGTAGTAGTTAAGAAAATGAGGAAACTTGACAGACAAAAGTACGGCAGCTTAAATGCTATAGAAACAGTCATTGGAAACTCCATTTCCAAGCCTTCAATATTTGTTACACATCAATAAAATACAGTATTTTAAACAAGAAAGTTTATGAGGCATCCATAGAAATGGGCAAAGACAATGTTGTAACATGTATGGCTACTCCTGACCCAGTTGGCTTGGCTGTAAGGAGCGCATGTGCGTATCACTCCAGAATAAAATTAATATGAATGTCCAACCTCGCTAAAAGCATCTCTGGTTTTACCAGATTTATTTTTTCTCTTTGACAACAAACATGCAATGGAGGGTGAAGCAGGAAAGACTTTTTTTCTACCATGGAGCCCTTTTTCCACCATTGAGCACCATGTTGGCCCCAGTATGGCCCAGACTGGACAACCATGCCAACATGACCATATTTAATGGAGACTTCTTAGATGAGTCCGTGTTAATACCTGCTTTTTTTCCTACGGTGCTTTTGAAAGAGAAAAGGACTCTTACCTATTGTTCTTCGGAGATCTTCACACTGGCTAATGTGAGGGAACTTCAAGATTTCCTTCCACTTTTTGCTCTTGCCTTTGCGCTTTCCTCCACCCCCTGCAGAAAAAGGAGAAGAGATGTCAGGCTTCTATCCTTTTTCAGGGTCATAGCTGATCCAGACCTGGGCACCCTTCACTTATGCTGTGATCAGTCCAGTAGTAGTCCCTATAAACAAATTTTAAAATATCACAGTCCTTGTAGAGCACAAAAACTCGGCAGCACAGCAAAGCTGGTGTTTCACTGACATTTGACAGTGCTATTCACTGAGATAAGTCACAAAGGCAATGTTTCAACCAAGATCTGAATTACTGAAGTCTGGAGGTTCAGGTTTGAGGATTATATAAGACCAATATTTTCAAGTTCAGATACGAGGATGCTGGACTGAGCAGTTCTCATGGCAATTAAACCCAAACAGCCCATCACTACGTGGAAAACAAGGCAACCTGCTTGTAAAGTTTCTACTTTTGAATTTCTCTAGTGAATTTGAATAACAATCTGACTCATCTGGAACACAAGGGGTGGCTGCAGAAATCAAAATTCAACACCCCTTGTCTACACTTCAAATTACAGTACTTATACAAGACATACACTTAAAGTGGCAGTACCTTGGGAATTCCAGACCTGGATCACTGTTAACAGCATGGATCATATTTCTTTTTTAAAGAAAAGAAAAAGTAATTTACTTCCATGGGCTAGAGGAGATCTCACACTTTCTATACAGTTTTTGGTCTTTCTTCCCTTTCCTGATACTATTCCTCCCCTTAGCTTTCTTGGACTGGGCTGTGATCCTATTCCCGGCTCAGGTTTTTTGGACTGGATGGTTCTCATTGCGAAAGATTATGGATTGGTAGGGAGGGCATAATCCAAGGCCTATTATTGCTCCTAGGCACCACTTCAAGATGTCAATTCTAAGACAATAACTATCAATCTTTCATTAAAGGTTTTATTTTTAGTAAATAACAATCATGTTTCTATATCGCTGCATATAAAAACAGAGTTCCCAATGAGAGGAGGAGCCTGGACATGGGGGATCAGCATGGTGTTCCTCACACAGAGTTGCCAGCAGTTATTAAAACCCACAGCTTTATCCTTTGAACTCTGCCACTAAAGTCCCCAGAGTCAGAGCCCTAAAACCTCTGCTCTGAAAGACTGGGTGGAATATTAAGGGCCCCAAAGGGTACACAGATAGAACTAGAGGCCTAGACAGAAGTTACATTTGTTGCACCATCAGTCCCTTGAAAGCACTCTACAACTGTGCCCTGACAAATAGGGCTGTGCGAAGCTTCGGTCCCCAATTTGATTCAGTGGAGATTCGGCTTAATTCGGTGGCCAAATCTCCGAATCCGAATTAAATCAGGAGGACCTCAGAAAGATTCGGCGATTTGGACATAGACACAGCTTGAATTGTTTTTTCTACATACCTCTAGGGACCAGGCGGCTCATGAATGCTGCGACGCTGGGGCACATGGAGTGTCCCACAGAAGCTCAGGGGGCTCCC